GTCCAGGAAAACGGGTGTGTTGTTGCGCCACACGAAGTGCAGTTCATTCAGCTGATAGCCGTAGCTGCCAATGTTGATGTGACATTCCTGGCTATCCATGGGAAAGGTCTTCAGGTCCATCTGACAGGAAAAACGCATTGTTATCTTTTGACTGTAGAGGATCACGCCCGACGGCTCAATTCGGGTGAGGTAGTTGGGACAGGTCATCTTGTGCAGACGCCCCTCCTTACCATTACGAAAGAATAGGTCAGGCAGCCAGAGTTTTCGTTTTAGTTCCGGTGAGACAAGATTATTGGTGTAGTTTTTAAACTTGGTTATTCCAGCCCAAGCCAGCCTTTGGTCTTTCCACTCTTGTCGTAGGAGGAGGTCCGTGGTGTACTCCATCATACGTACGTCCACGGAGGTGATGGCTGTGATGTATAAGTAGACAGTAACTTTGGTAGTCTCCTTCTCTGCTTCCCCGGGTCGCTCATGTTTCTGGTAATTTTGAAATAAGTGGTCCATAATCTGTTCTCTGATTGATGTCACATTTCGTAGAAATTCACTGGTGTACATGGTGGTTGAATTCATTTCTGCACCAGTTACTGCGCATGCTCCCATCGTTAAAGCCGTCAGGGTAAAAACAGTTTGCATATTAGTCTGGAAGTAGAACATCTTCTGTTCTGTCCGTAGGATGGAGTGAATTCCTACCAGGTGGATGGATTTTGTTTACTCGCAGGACGAAAAAACGATGCTGGTTGCCTACCCACACGGGATGAGCTTTTGTGAATGTGCAGCCCATTGGATAGAAACTGACCAATAGGATGATCGACAAGAGAATATTCTGTAACGCACCCAAGCCACCGCCGCCCCTTCTCGTCTATTTTTTTGACGATGTACGCAGAAAGGACAAGCTGAGGTGCGCAACCATTTGTATAGGCACGTCTAAGATTCGAGTGAAGAGTAATTGCCTGATTTGCGCATTCAAATGCAAACCTATGACTCTTGCTAGAATCCGCAATCCACTGCGGGACCTTTTCCGTCCCAATTTAACTAGAAAGAAGCGCAATATACGGACATGCTGAAATGTTTGTATAAATCATATGATGAGAAGTTGGAGAGGATAAGCAAAAATTTGGGCATTGTGTCCGTTTTAGGGTTATAAAAGTGTATGGTCACTGAAACCGCGTTCAAAACAATAAAATAATCGAAAAATGACTGCCCTATCTATTCGCGAGAGCTTGTTAAAATTCAGCAGGAAAGACACCGTTCGGAGTTCGAATGATCTCGGCTTAAGAAAGCAACTTAATCACTATCAGTATTCATCCTAAAAGTGACAAGGAATATTTTAATGAGACCTGAAGGTAAAAAGGGATAAGCAACCTAATCGCTCGGCTCGAAACCCACTGTTATCCTGTCGAAGTAGGATGGGAGACAACTTGGGGGCTCGCAATCCCGAAGGCAAGAAGGAATGCGTAAGTAGGGTCCTGATCGTGATTAAATAGCAATAATAATCCCAGGGTACCTCAGAAGTGCCAGAATTCCGACTGTTGAATGTACGTCTTTTCAGCCGCCCGCAGAATACAAACTTGGATAAACATGACTACTTAGGTAGCATGAATTTTTCTATTGATTTTTCATGCCCATATCAATTTAAAGACAGTGTATAGAAAACGCAAATAAAATTATTGTATGTTGTACTCATTTGGCAGCAACTCAAGTCTTTTTAAGTTGCATACTCCAAGAAAGGCTCTCTTTCGGTTTTAAAAGTTGTTAATTATGAAACTTTTCAAGATCGTACAAGGTGCAAAACATGGTCCAGATTTACTGCAGCTTTTTTATACACACTTTATGATATCTTTTTAACGGCCTACAGGTATGTGCTATGTAAGTTGGACTTAAAGCATAAAATTTTTAGTCCCAAACCTTAAACTTCAATTCGAAGGCAGATCGACCTGAAATTATTTGGGAACTGGAAAACTCGGCAAAAGTGGCTTATGTAGGCTCACTCATATACCCTTAGTCCCAGCAATTTGTCCTGCAAAAACGGTGGTTATAGAGTTTCGGGGGGTGTGGAAATAGGATAGGCAGAGAAGGAAATTTGTAGAAGTAAGTGTAAAGTGAAA